TTTTTTTTTTTTTTTAAAGAATCTGCCTTACAGTTTACACTATTCTTACTTTTCCCCTTTTGTCAGTCAGGAGATTCCTTAAATAAAATGATATCTTTTTTTTTTTTCATTATTATTTTAAAGGTCTCTGGGGAACAAGACTCATGGAAGAAAGCAGCACGACCCGGGAGAAATACCTAAAAAGTGTCTTACGGGAACTGGTCACTTACCTCCTTTTCCTCATAGTCTTGTGCATCTGTGAGTAGAACATTTTCTTTCATTAATGGAAAAGTTTTGAAAATGTTTTGCCTGTCAAAATCATAGTTAAAAGGAATTATGCTCCAGAAGGGTCAATTTGGAATTTACTTTTCTCACCTTTGGTTTTGATTCCAACTGGTTGGGGTTTTTTGTTTCTTTGTTTTTTGTTTTTTTAATTTGAGTATTTGTTCATTGACTCTTCCTGTAGTAGAATGGAAGCTTTCTAAGGGAAGGGACTTGACTTGTTCTTTGTGGTACCCCTACCGCCACCCCCACCACCAAAACCGTGCCTGGCAACAGAAGGATTTCAGAGAGGTGCAAGGAGGGTAAAGAAATGCCAAGTGACTGTGGACTTGGACTTAACCCAAGAAAGGAAAGGTGAAGAATTTAATTCTGGTTTAGAGATTGGTCAGCTTCTCTTCTGTCCTCTGGCAAACATTAATTAAAGGTCAGCAATATGTAACTGACCAGTCTGTTGTCAGTTGTGAACATTTTTACCGTGAGATTCATGTGGCAATCTGCTAGACACCGACAAACCACGTCAGGAGATTTTTGCATTAGATTTCTTAACAGTGAATGCAGTGTTACTATTATTACAATGTCATCATTGACTGTTTCTACATCAGTTAACCTAAAGTCTACCTAAAAATTGTTTTCAGCACAATGGCCTTCCAAGTTTAACTTTCAAGAAATACAAAGGTTTCCATTTGATATTGCTTTTATTGATGTATATATTTAAAAGTTCCCATCTGGCCTGGCTCAGTGGCTCACGCCTATAAACTCTTTGGGGGGCCAAGGTGGGAGAAGCACTCTGTGCCAGGAGTTTGAGACCAGCTTGAGCAACACAGCCAGAAGCCATCTCTACAAAAAATATAAGTATTAGCTGGGCATGGTGGTGCTCACCTGTGGTCTAACTACTTGGGAGGCTGAGCCCAGGAGTTTGAGATTGCAATGAGCTATGATGATGCCACTGTGTCTCAAAAAAATATAAGTTCCCTTTTTTCGATGTGTTGTGTGCCTTCATTATAATTCATTATTTCTTCCAAAGCTTCAGTAATTATAGGCTTTTACTCTACAGGAAACTTACTGTAGAGGCATCTTTCCCCATCCTCTCGTCTTTTAGCTTGTCACTGCATCCTCTTATAGGGGTAGGGAAGGGAAGCCTTAGCCAGAAAGCAGTCTTAGGAACTGTTTTGCATCAAATATCCAGAAAGTCACAGGCAATAGACTTATCCTCTGAATCAGAGTGTTGCATAATGGATTTCTGTCATGTGCCCTAGAAAGCCTTTATGAGAACAGATAAGGAAGGAGATTTATGAGCCCATGACCTCTTACCAACCTCCACTGATAGAGGAGTTTATTCTTACAGTGTACTTTTAAAAATGAACACCCATTTTGGAAAGAGTCCTCTTTTTTGTATATGAAGAGAATGAAAATTTAATCAATACTTTACTAATGCCATTCTTGTTAAATTAAAAATGACTGCCTTGAATTTAATTGACTCTGGAAAGCTTTCTTAAAAACAATTTTTTAAATTTACTAGATTTATGAAAATAAGATTTATAAGTTGGACATCAAATATAGTTATGAAGATAATTAAAATTAGTCTTTCCTTTGAAATTTGATACCAGCTTTGCTGTTCTAAATTGAAAATTAGTTGTTTTTTTTTTCCCCCCCCCTTCCAACTCCTATGCCACGATGGTCTCCTCAATCTTGCCATTACTAGAGTGTTCATGTTCTGTCCAGCGTGCCCTTTCCGTTACACTTAGTGCACAGAGTTTGGTCACGGTATTAAAGAGGAAATACAGTGAGGTCACAGTTTGCCAGATCTAAAGGTTAGTGAATAAGAAAGAAAAGTTTCAGAGTGAAAGGATCAAAGAATATGGAGCTTCCTTCTATTCCGTATCTTCCTTAGAAGGTAAGATAAAAAGCAAAAGAGCTGAAGGACGTAAGATTGGTAACAGAATGAGAGAAGCAAAGCTTGCCAACTTAGTAAGTGAAATACTGGTTTTGTGTTTGGTAAGGCTAATGAAATTGCCTTCCAGACAGGGTTAATGTCAGGTCCTCGTGGCAGGCTGATACCAGTGCTGTCAGCGTATCACTGTATCCTGTCACTACTCCTAAAGGATAAAACAGACAATGAGCTTGAAAATGAGAGGCCTGTTCTGAATTGTTATGCCCGTGAGGACACATGGGTATAACAAGCCTGGATAGTGTGAGCCGAACCTGACGTGCATTCCTGCAGAGAAATGTTGCCCTGAAGAGAAGGGGACATCAAACTAAGCTATCAGTCTTCCTTTGCTGCAGCGCTCAGAGTCGCAAGAAGTTAGAATCATCTACAGGCAAATTTGGACATTGCCTTGATGTGCAACTTTGCTGGGTATATATAAAATTTTTAAATTCCCTGATGCCTGGCAGGTTGTTTTAGGAATGGCTCCTGCAATTAGGGAGAAAAATAGCTTGCTAGAATGTGAGTGTTCTGTTACTGCGTGATGATGGGACAGCACACTCTCATGGGAGCTTTACATTAGAATGAGTGGACGCTTTTACTCTGGGCAGCCATGAGGCTGAGAGATAGTTAAGTCACCAAAAACTGAATACAGAAAGTGTGGGGTCCATTACACGGCATATTGTTGACATGATGAGGAATCTTATTGCTGTTTGCGATGCTGATATCCCAGAAGTAGTCCATGACTGCTTTGCAAAAGCAAAAAGGACTACTCAGAAGAACGAGCATGGTCCTTGCCGGCGTGGTGGGAATGAGCTACCTACCGAGAGAAATGAACTCTCCTGTGCTCGTGTGCATAGTTGTCTAGATATCCTAACATGTTAGCTTTCTCTGCTGCTGATGAACTTCAAATAAGAACAGACGTCCTTGAGGTAGGTCTGCTGTGAGCATAAAAGAACAGGAATAAACGTTGCCAAGTTCAAGCATCCCAGGAGAAGAGAAGCTTAAATAGCATTGGCAATCAGTGATTGGTGATAACACTGCTGCAGGGATGGTAATGATTTGGGTTCTAAAGCGGTGGAGTCGCTAAGTTTATGAACTATGAAAGAACACATCGGGATTTAGTCCTGTGTTAAGTAGTAAGTAAAACAGAATCTTTCAGATACTGAACAAAAAAGGGTATCAGTCGTTTGCCCTTCTGGTCTCAAGGCTGACTGGGAGCCGTGGCATTGAACCTCATATCACTGGCCCAGGAAAAGTATGAAACTCCGAATCCTAAGTATGCCTTCTACTGAATTGAATTGTATTGCTTCCGCACCAGAAAGTCAAAAAATTAAAAGCTGAACCAGAGTAAGACAGGGACCATCTGTATGTAAATATTATACATTTCTTTCTCTTGGTTTTAAAACAAAATATCCTAAGCCCGGTCAAGCATTCTCAAAAGCATTTGTGTCAACAGCTTCTATCCCTGAAAGATTTCCATCACAACTTGTCACTTATAATTTTATTGGAAATTTTAACCAAAACTGGATTAAAATATTGGGAGGTTTTAATAACTCTATTTCCTGGACTCTGTCACTGACTGATACTGCAGCTTCACGTTGCTGGAACTCTCTTCGCTGCCTAGTTCTATGGGCTCTTTTCAGCCTCTTTCTGGCATTTGGTTCCTAGAACTTCCTGCTGTGGCTTCTTGATTCCCCGTCTTCCGGAGCTCCTCCTTGCCCCGTTCACTTCCTTGGCCTTCTTCTTTCTGAAGTGTGCTCAGATGGCGTTTTCTCTGTGGTCCTCTCACGTGTTGCCGACCTTATGCCAGCTTGCCCGGCATCTCCAGTGGGACTCTCACAGGCATGTCACATGCCCAGACCTTAACTCTCCAGTCCACCCATCCACACTTGATTCAGTCACACCCTCTGCCTCCCCTGAAATCTGGGCACTCCTGACCCTTTCCCCGATCCTCCTTATAGGGTCATTCTGCCTCTTTAGAATCTCGTATCTGTCTTTTCTCATACATCATTTTGGCCCTTCTGAATCAGTTCTTTTATGCATTCAACCAACTATTAAATAATTTAATTAAAAACAGATTTAAGGACTGGGTGCAGTGGCTTATGCCAGTAATCCTAGCATTCTGGGAGGCCAGGTGGATTGCTGGAGCTCAGGAGTTTGAAACCAGCCTTAGCAAGACTGAGACCCCTGTCTCTACTAAAAATAGAAAAAGTATCCAGGCATGGTGATGGCTCCTGTAATCCCAGCTACTCGGGAGGATGAGGCAAGAGGATTTCCCAAGAGTTTGAGGTTGCTGTGAGTGATGATGTGATGACACTCAACCCACGATGACAGAGTGAGACTCTGTCTCCAAAAAACAAACAACAACAAAAATCAGATTTAATCCTTGCCCTTGAATATGTGGCTTAAATTTGTAAGTGACATAAAAGAGGACAGTGGGGAAAGAGGATTCTCTACGGAGAAGGCCTCTGAAGTCTGAAACTAGAGTGGGCGTCAGTCTGATGACAACAGAAGTGTATAAATGAAGTTTCTGAGGCAGGAAAATGCTCAGAACGTTCCAGAAACTCTTAGAAGCTGAGTAAAGTTAGTTACCCCTCAGATAAAGACAGAAAGGTGGTCAGGGGCCACGTCTTGTAGGTCTGGTGGGTGTTAGTAAGGGATTTGCAGTGAGAAGCCAGGGTTTTAAGTAAGAGAGTGACAAGATTCATTTAAATTTTAGGAAGATATCTCCCAGTGCCCTATGGGCCACGGATTAGGTGGGAGACACTCTGCATAAGACCTTAGGAGACACTCTGCATAAGACCTTACAATCCCCAGGGACTGCCATTTCTGAAACCAAATTAATACAGGTCACTCTTCCATTTAACATCCTATAGTCTTCAAGGTGACTTCCAGATGGACTTTCAAATCTTTAGATAATAGGCTGGCATTTCACTACACAGCCATTGCTCACGTCTTCAGAACCACCACACTCTCCAAACATCCAGTTCTTCAACTGCATCAAACCACGCAGGATGCTCAAAAAGGCCTCAGTGTTACTGTCCTTTCC